AGACTACTACTTTTTCGTAATTAGATTCATATTTTTGCTAGCATATTTCCTTTTTTAATTTGCCATGGACACCCAGATTCTTTGCCTTCCAGATGGCTTGGCCTCACCCTCTCATTCAAACAATGCGCATGCCTTCCCTCTTCTGCCTGAGGTGGCTAACAAACGGTCTCTTGACATCCGGTTTGACGACGTCTCTTTCGCTTATCCGACAAGGTCTGAGTCTCGAGTCTTCGATTCCTTTTCACTGGATGTTCCCGCCGGTCGAGTTGTTGCTCTTGTTGGACACTCTGGTGCCGGTAAGATTGCTCAACTATGGGGGTACTTTGGGGTAATCTTGAGGCTTTGGGGAGTGGACGAAGCTTATGACCTCATTCCTTTTCGAGGGCAAATTGAATCATGAGGTGACTTATTCTTCGATATCATTAAAGTGCTGTTAGGTCTGCCATTTACTTATAGGTAAAGTAGTTTACCAACCTCAGCCTTCTGGATGTTAAGTGATCTATTTTATATGTTTATTATTAGGTATAAGCTTGGTTGCTATCATTAAATTACTTGCTAATATTTGCTAGTTGACATCTTTCAATATGACTGGTTAGTTAATGTGCAGCTTCTTGGAGCTAATATACATTTTTTATTACAGAGGTACTCCATTAGGTCCCAATAGACCAATTGAATTATCTGTTTATATAAAAACTTACATGGATTTCACGACTATGAATTGAATAAAACATGCATAATATGAAAGCATTAGTGCCTAATACGTATGTTAAGTGAGAGCATCAAAATATTTTTTCCGGTTGATAAATGTTATAAACCCCCAAAAAGAGTTTAAGGTAATTTAATTAAGAAAATGAAACGGTACTTTTGTTTAACATATTCATCTTCCTTATAAAGCTGTGCTCGAAATCCTGCATCTGATTGCTTATTTAACCATATAAGGTAGCTCATATACCTTAAGTGACCAGATTTGTTTCTAAATTTTTATCTTTAGGATTTTAAATTATCTTCAAAAAATAGGTAATCTCTTGCATATTATCCTTATATTCATTTTAACAGGCAAATCAACTCTTACTTCA